CCAAGCCATGGTATTCCCCATCAGCATGCATGGATGTGAGAAGTGGACAGTGAAGAAAGCAGAGAGAAAGAAGATCAACTCATTTAAGATATGGTCCTGAAGAAGAGTGCTGAGGATACCATAGACAGCCAAAAAGGCAAACAAATGGGTCCTAGAACAGATCACACCTGAACTCTCTCTGGAAGCCAAGATGATCAAATTGAGGCTGTCATACTTTGACCACATCATGAGAAGGCATGAATCACTGGAAAAGACAATAATGCTAGGAAAGGTGGAAGGCAGTAGAAAAAGAGAAAGATTGCATGCCAGATAGCTTGGGTATGAACCTGAGGGACCTGAGCAGAAGAGCTGAAGATGGTTTTGGAAATGTCTCATTCACAGGTTGCCATGGGCTGAAGTTGACTTGAAGGCAGTTAACAACAACAACAACAATGTGAACTTTCATAGGATTTCCTTAGCATGATTTGTTCAGAGAGGGTTTGCATTGCCTTTCTCTGAGGCTGAGAGAGTGCAACTTGCCCATATTCACAGAGTGAGTTTTCATGGCCAAGTGGGAATTCAAACCTTGGTCTTTCTAGTCTGGCACTACAGCCATTACATCACACTACTCTTTATATTTAACACCCTCCCTCATGACTACTCTTAAATGAACACCTTTTTTGCAACACATATCTAAAGAGAGTTGGACCTGATATATCAACTGTTTAACTTTTTTCTGTTGAGATATAACTGTAGTACCTTCAGCTTCACTTATTCTCAGCACTACTTACCATTTGTAGTTGAGAAAAATCTCACACAGTACAACTAATGGAACATTCTATTTTACTCAGGATTGATTGCAATACAACAGCCCTGACAGTTAGGGTAGGAAGAGGAGAGGAGACGAGATAGATAGATTAAATAGACAGACAGACAGACAGATAGATAGATAGATAGATAGATAAATAGATGAAAAATTTTCATGGAAAAATACAGCATTGGAAAACGTTCTATAAAAGTTTCCACATAATAGCCTTGCTGGAATTTGTTTGCATTGATCCAAATTTCCTTTTCATTAGAATTGGAGAAAGGGGGAAATTTAAATTAACTGTCCAATGGCCTTTACAAAAACAAAATGCAGGCCTTAGAATAGGCTCTAAAAGAATATCTAGCAGCAACTGCTTTTGCTCAAAAACATAGCACCTTTGAGTGACAGGAGTTGCAATAAATTAAAAACCACAGAAGAGTCAATTTTATAGTCTCAGCTCTCCCCCCCACTTTCTCTCCCTTTGCTTTCCTTCCTCTATTTAAGCATTAGCACCTGTCCAGCGGAGGAAACGAACAGTTCTTTGGGGGTGAGGTTTGCAGGCCTACATTTGCTCCTTGTTGACAGAGGCTCTGTGCATGTGAGTTTGCTTTGTTTGAACCATTATTATTATTATTATTATTATTATTATTATTATTATTATTATTATTATTATTAAAGTATTCTGTTGGCAAAAGAGCCAGGCAGGAGCAGGATGAGCTTTGTTGCTACCTTGCGAGAGTGTTTTCTCTTGCGAGAGTGTCTTCTCTCCACAGGGAGAGCATAAGGCTGCTCAAGTGGGTGTCTGCTTAGCAGACAAAAGCAGCACCTGCAAAGAGTGGCATTAATCCTCTGTGCATTGGTGTGCATGTGTGTGTGTACACATGCACACACACATTTCTTCTGAAGCAGATGGCTGAGGTTAAATGCACAGCAGTAGAATCAGATAACATCCTTTACTGACGTCAAAACTACACATTACATGAACCACAACCCCAAACATCATCATATCAAGGTTTCTCCCCAAGTTATGCCTTTGTTTACCTGTAAAGTCACCTCATCTCAAGGGATGCAATTTTTTGCCAAATTTCTTCTTGAAGCAAGCAATGAGTGGTTTTAGCCATTTTCTTCCTGCTGAGAGGAAGTCTTTGAAAACTGCACAATTTTTGAGGACTCCATAGTTCGTGATTTGCAAACTCCAGACTTTTTTCCCCCCACTGAAAATAGCATTTTCTGTACAGGCAATGTTTCCTGAGTGGGAAATAATACCTGCAAAGAAATTTCTGTTTCAGAAAATGCTGTTACCTGTGCAAAACTACCTCACATGAATTTTGCATAGAACAGGCCCCGAAGTGCAAATATTTTCATCAGTCCAGGATTCTTCTCATTAGGGTTTCTCAACTTGCTCTCAAGAAACATGTTTTTTGGCCATTTGGGGGAATATTTTCAAATATTATTTCTGTCTGTACTCATTCATAACACCTTAAACTTTCCCATGCCCAGCAGCAGCCAATTCTATACAGTACAGAAATTCTCAAAGGATGATCCAGATTTTTATGGTGCAACAGTTTTGCTGACAGAACTTTACAGAGGCTACAGATATTAACATCTTCCATTTATAAACCCTATGTGTTTTCTTCTATCTTTATTCTTTCTATAAAAGAAATAATACAGTCAGGAGGAAAAGATGAGACAGCTACACAGTGCCTTTTGAGCTAGGAGACCTCCACTTGGAAGCACCCATGATGGTGTGAGGTCTCAGGAACATCTTCGTATGCACTGAACTCTTGTAACACATTGCAACATATAATTTAGTTTCTTGGGAATCAGCTGCAATGGGCCTCAAGTTCATGGTCTTACTTTCCTTTCCTCCCTGTCACTATGCCTATTTGGGAGTTACTTTTTGTAAGTTGGGGGGACAGGTCTTCTGCCTTCCAAGTCCAGCACCAGCTCAGAAGGCCTGTGGAGGGTGGGTGATGCAGTGGTCTAACCAGATGGGGGGGAGGCAGTTTGCCCCACTCCCACACTAGGTGACATCAGCCCAAGTGATGCCATTGATCCACAGAACTCACAATTACAATTCAATATTCCCACAATCATTCTGTTACTAGAGGAGAATAGGAGGGGGGGAGAGAAGAAGTGCTCCCAGCACCAGTAGCAAACCAAGGGCACCATCCACTGAAATTTGCTGAAGTCTTCTGGAAGTTTCAGTGCATGACATCATCCATCTATGTCTACCATGAGAGCATAGCCAGAGGTTTCTCTGATCCCTTCCACTCTCCAACATCAATGGAATGGCCATGGGAAGCATTGCAACTAACTCTGGGTCTATTGGTGGGCAGTTTTGGTCATTGCAGAAGGTGGAAGAGAATAACAAACTCCACGAGAACAAAAAGAATAACAAACACCAGAATAAGGTTGACTTTTCCCTACATGATACTAATCAGTCAGTCTGAAAGCCATAATTGTTATAAAATAAAACTCTTATTTGCAGTAGAGGTGTAAATCTTTGTTTATTCCATTCTTGTGTACAAGAACAAGTAATTTTTTTTTTTAAAAAAAAAAGATTCCCTGAATGGCTGAGATGACACATTTTTTTTTCCAATGAATTTTCACATTTGGAGCCTTAATTTCCCAAAACTTTTGTATGCATGCAAAATTCCTTTTTGTGTACTCCCTCCCTTTTCATGTAAAACTTGATTTTTACAAAAAAGAGACCATTTTGGCATTGAAAACAGTGCTTTTTTAAAGCCAAAGTGTTCAAAGGCAAGCCTGAATATATATTTGAAATAAATATATATTCAGTTTAGCCTTTGGTGGCTGGACTATAATAGTTGTGGTGTCATTACTAGACCTAGTTGCTTTCACCTTGCCTCAGAGAATTCTGTCCCATATACAAATTCTTCAATTGGTCAATTATCATGTATACATTATCAATTTGGTTCCATAAATTTCAGGTTTTATTTTATAGCAACAATTCTGATGTGTTAGTATTACAGAGTCAAAGGGGGGAAATCCTGTAACTTCTCAGCATAAGAAATGTGGTGGTCCACCCACCCCCAATTTTCTAAAGCTAAGCCCATCAGCTCTCAGTATACACTTGAGGTTGGCAATGTTAAACTGAAACAGACCCTGCCTGCTTTCCCTGTATGTGCAGAGGGTTAGGCCCATAAAGCCAGGGTGAAGCTGGGATTTAGATTAAATGATTGCTTGGGGAAGTGGAGTTAGCTGCTGCAGGATGTGGGAATCAGGCAGTATGATGAGACATAACCTTTTTGCAGAATTGATTTTATATAAAAATGCATGACTCATGCTGAAACAGATGGCGACAAAGGCATGAGTTAGCTAAAGTCCAGAACCCCCCTTCCAGAACAGAACAGGCAATGGTGGAGTGCTATGCCAGGAAACTCATACAAGTGATGCTTCACTTGTTGAAATTCATTCATTCCTTGAGGAAACCAAAGTCCAAAGAGTAATTGCAGATGTCATCTGGCCATTTCTAGTCATGTTCTCCACAATCTGGTGCCTCCGCAGGTATGCTGCACCACAAATGTCATCATATCCCAGTGGCTCAGCTAACTGTGGGGAAGCATCTGTGGTAATTTGATGGGGATGAATCCCAACCTATGGAAAGGTTTTTGAAGAGGCATCACTGCTATTGCTCCCTCCCTATTCCCTCAGTACTCAATTTCCACATTCAGTGATGTCACTAAAGAGAAAGGAGAAGGCAATGGGAGAAAATATCTTGATTATGGTAGTGGTATATCCAGTGGTGGCTAGTAGCTTTCATGTTAGGGGGATGTTGAATCTGCTCAGGATGAGCTTGAAAAGAGCTGTCTGAGCTCGAAAAGAATTATCTAAAGAGTCTATTAGGGGTTAGGGCCCAGCACCTTGAATATGTCCTTTAGTGTTCAGGCTAAAATACAGGGTGGATTGTGAAATCAAAAGCTTTCACGGACAACATCCATTGTTTTTCGGGCTGTGTGGCTGCATTCTGGAACACCACCCTCTGAAGATGCCAGTCACAGTTGCAGGCAAAATGTCAGGAATAAATTCTTGTATGAGTTTCCTGGCAGCCACAAAGCCCCCCCCCCAAAAAAACAAAAAAACACCCAACCAGAATGGATTCACAGCCCCACCAGCATGGGAGCCACAATCTGCCATTGAGCATATTTATTAGTTAAAATATTTATATCTTCTATCTAAAGATCAAACAGCCAGAATAGTGCAGTGGTCTGAACATTGAACTACAACTCTGGAGACCAGGGTTCAAATCTGTGCTCAGCCATGGAAACCCATGGGGTGACCTTGGACAAGAAACACTCTCAGCTTCAGAGGAAGGCAAAGTCAAACCCCTCTGAATAACTCTTAAAATGAAAATCCTACAATAGATCCTAGAAATCCTACAAATCCTGACAAGAAAACCCCATGATAAGTTTACTTTAGGGTTGTCATGAGTCAGAAACAACTTGAAGTCACACAACAACAATCTAAAAACCTCTGGGTGGCATGCAACAGAACCAACTTGAATAATTTAAACGATATAAAAATAAAAATGATTTTTAAAAGCAAAAAACATATAATGTAATTTAATAAATTAAGTTTTAGTGAACACCTATGTTTTCACTTGGTGCTGGAATTATGACAAGATTGATGCCAATTGGCCTTCCAAGGGGAGGATATTCTATAACTGGGGTGCCACAGCAGAGAAGGACCTCAAATCCCACTTTTTAGAGGGGATTGTATCTCTATTTGAAGGGAAGTCCAGTCCAAATCCAATTTAAAGATAAAGGTCCATTAGAAAGAGTCTCTAAAGTTGACCATCACCAACTGGCACTATGGTAACAAACTGAATAGCAACACAGGTCACTGATCATTCTCTTGCACGCTGACAAAACCTCTATTGTATTGCATTTCTATTAAAATATCAGTTGTCCTTTCTAAATTTGTAATAATATCTAGAGATAAGTATATGCAAATGTCACAGTGATCCATCTATTCTCTTTTGGTTATGCACTTATTAGCATCTTAAATTGCCACCCATGTTAGAGGGCTTATTGGGAACAGTTAGAAGTACAAACTTAAAGGAGAGGGAGAGAGATTTGACACTCCATCCAAACTGAGCTCCAGATCTGTTTTTGTTTGGTGGTTTCACATTAAAGGCACTAGACAAACCATTAATAGGACACATGTGAAGATAAAGAGGGAATATCTCACCTTCTTTGGCACTGAGTCGAGAGGATGGCTCTGTATGGGTTGTTGTATTGTAAGACAGCAATGAGCTACCTGGAAGGAAAAAGAAGAAGAGGTTTATTTCAATGCAAAAAAAAAAAAAAATGGCATTTGCAAATGGGCAGAGAAAAGACTAGTCTCAACATCAGTGGGGACCATCTGCTTCTGTGTTCAAGGTGCCTTGAATAAACTCTGGGTTTTAGTCTAAACTTTAAAGATGCTATCCAACTCCAGATAGGTCCTTTTGTGGACAGTGTTCAGCACCTTGGGTAACTCCTTTAAATCTTGGACTAAAACCCAGAATGCATTGCTGCAACAACATATACACACTGACATGAAAGCCACCGGCCATCACTGCTCAATATTACTAAGGTTAACTCTGACAGATACAAAGCTCAATTCTAACAAAAAGAAGCACAACCTCTTTGTCAGCAAGTCATACACAACTGAAAGAATGTGTTCAAATGCTTCTCACTCTGTCTGCAGTCATGGTGCAGGAGCAGTTTCCAATGTTCTTCCAGCTATTCTGCATCCTTAGTGCCAAAAGAATAGCTGCTCCATTTCAAGAATGTTCCAAGGCATTTGTTGCCTTAGGTGAAAAATTTCATTACATCCTTTTTCATTCCAAGTAGAGAAAACAGTTATTGGCATCAATTTTCAACACCACTAAGGGGACAATGGCATCAACCATACTTGAAGACAGCAAGCTAGGGAGATCAGCAATCAGGATAGGCGATATAATGTCAACAGCTCTGTCTGACAACATTTTAGTGCTCTCCCCAGCATCTGCTACTTGAGGTAGCTGCCTCGTTCTAATTAATAGTAGGTCTAGTTCTGCTGTATTTTAAAAAGAGATCTCTTCTGCTTTCTGTTCGAATGAATAAGGAGGAGCTCACTGCACAATTGTTCAAAAGGTGCTTCAGCTTTGCATACCCTTCAACTGTCCTGGACTGGCAGGGACAGTCCTGATTAATCCTCTGTCATCCTGTATGTTCAGGTGTTTTAAATTGTCCCAGTTTGTCCTCTATTCTTCCCACTTTCCCCCATTGTCCTGGGTTTACTTCAATTGTTGCAAACTGAGTTCAAAGTGTAGAAGTGGTTTGAAAATTAACTCAGCAGTAGGGACAGGAGAGGAGGGGTAGAACCCTGCCTTTCCCAGTAGACTCAGGCAAAAGCAAACTGCTGCAGCATCTCTTTGTTCTTCCTCATTAATAACTTTTGGTATCTCAACCGCACTTTGATATAGTTTGACCATACATAAGTGAAGTGAACTGATATTTTTAAAAGATCAGTGCCGCCTGTTTACTGTGTACCTTACCATACTTGGTCAGCCTGCACATTTGTAAATGGAGAAATTATAACAACAAAAGACATCATAGTTTTGTTTTGTTTTCCATTCTAAATGAAACTGATCATACAAATTCCAGAAGATTAGATTGTTAGAGCCACTCTATATATTCCAAATATTTACACCAGTATACTTCTCCGGGGATTGTACTAATGAGAATGGAGTGAGCAGATCTCATATTTTAATACTTTAGCATAAGAAACGAAACCCCTCAGCTGTGGAAAACCAGTATGTGAGGGAGAGTTTCTAGAGTTTTCTAGTTTTCCCCTGATGACCAGAGTCTATGACCAGAGTCCAAAGTTGGGGAAAAAAATACATTTTTAAACTACTATTCCCAGGATCCCTGGGATTTTAAGAGTTCTAATCCAAAAGAAGGAAGTTTCTAAAGCTCCGAAGAGATGCTTGACTTGTTTCAGTGGGGAAGCACTAAAATACCGTACTTTGCAACTGTACTAATTTGGCATGGGCAGTTCAGATTAATCTTCTATCATCCCACAATTCGGCTGCATTTGAAAAACCCCAGTTTTTCTCTCTTCCTCCCAGGTTTCCCTTTGTCCTTAGATTACTGATGCAAACTGAGTTAAGATTGCAAAAATAATTTGCCCTCAATTAAATCAACAGAGAGGAGAAGAGAGGCTCAGGCAATGGCGTTCCTAGGGTTAGTGTTACACAGGGCAATAACTTATGGTGTTACCCCACCACCACCATTGACCTCCTCCCATCCCACACCATACAAATCCT